AATGAAACCAAGAGTTGGTTCTTTGAAAAGATAAACAAGATTGATGAACCTTTAGCCAGACTCATCAAGAAGCAGAGGACCCAAATAAACAGAATCAGAAATGAAAGAGGTGAAGTAACAACTGACACCACAGAAATACAAGGGATTGTAAGAAAATATTATGAACAACTGTATGCCAAAAAGCTGGACAAAGTAGATGAAATGGACAAATTCCTAGAAAGATACAATCTTCCAAAACTGAATTAGGAAGAATCAGAGAACCTGAACAGCCCGAAAACAACTGATGAAATTGAGACAGTAATAAAAAAAACAAAAACAACTCCCAGCAAACAAAAGCCCTGATCCAGATGGCTTCACAGGAGAGTTTTACCAAATATTCAAAGAACAAACACCTACCCTCCTCAAAATATTCCAAAAATTCCAAGAGGAAGGAACACTTACAAGCTCTTTTTACAAGGCCAGAATTAGCCTAATTCCAAAACCAGATAAAGACACCACAAAAAAAGAGAATTACAAGCCAATATCCCTGATGAGCATAGATGCTAAAATCCCCAACAAAATATTAGCAAATTGGATCCAGCAATATTAAAAAGATCATACATCATGACCAAGTGGGATTTATTATAGGGATGCAAGGCTGGTACAATATTGACAAATCAATAAATGTGATACATCACATAAACAAAATGAAAGACAAAAATCACATGATCATATAAGTAGATGCAGAAAAAGCATATGACAAAATCCAATACCCATTTTTGATAAAAACTCTCAGCAAAATGGGAATAGAGGGATCATAAATCAATATAATAAAGGCCATATATGACAAACCTAAAGCCAACATCATACTCAATGGNTACAGCCAACATCAAACTCAATGGACAAACACAAAAGCCATTTCCCTTAAGAACAAGAACAAGACAGGGTTGTCCACTTTCACCACTTTTATTCAACATAGTACTGGAAGTCCTAGCCACAGTGATCAGATAAGAAGAAGAAGAAAAAAGAAAAGGCATCCAAATTGGAAAGGAAGATGTAAAAGTGTCAATATTCACAGATGAGTTGATATTGTACATAGAAAACCCTAAAGACTCCACCAAAAAAACAAAAACAAAACTAGATTTAATAAATGAATTCAGCAAGGTAGCAGGATACAAAATGAACACCCAGAAATCAATGGCAATTTTATACACCAATAATGAACTCTCAGACACAGAAACTGTAAAACAATCCCACTTACCATTGTAAATCAAAAATTAAGATACTTAGGAATAAACTTAACCAAGGAGGCAAAAGACCTGTACTCAGAAAACTGTAGAAAGTTGAAAAAAGGGATTGAATAAGATATAAAAGTGGAAGACTATACCGTGTTCATGGATTGGTAGAATTAACATCATTAAATTATCCATACTACCCAAAGCAATCTATAGATTCAACGCAATCCCATTAAAATAGCAATAGCATATTTCACAGATCTAGAACAAATACTTCAAAAAATTGTATAGAACAAAAAAAGACCCCGAATAGCCATGGCAATCTTGAGAAAGAAGAACAAAGTTGGAGGGATCGCAATACCAGATATCAAGTTATATTGCAAAGCCACTGTAATCAAAACAGCCTGGTACTGGCACAAGAACAGGAATTTAGATCAATGGAACAGAACAGAGAACACAGAAATCAACCCAATTCATTCCATTCCATTAATATTTGACAAAGAAGGCAAGAGCATACAATGGAGTAAAGACAGCCCCTTCAATAAATGGTGTTGGGAAAATTGGACAGGTACATGCAAAAAGTTGAAACTAGATCACCAATTTACACCATACACAAAATTAAACTCAAAATAGGTAAGAGACTTAAATGTAAGTCATGAAATCTTCAAAATTCTAGAAGAAAACCCAGGCAGCAAAATATCAGAAATCTCATGGATCAGAATTTTCACTGATACATCTAGTGCAAGAGACACAAAAAATATATAAATGGGACTATATAAAAACAAAAATCTTCTGCACAGCAAAAGAAACCAGTATCAAATTGAAAAGGGATCCCACTGTTTGGGAGAACATGTTTTCCAATGATATATCTGCTAAGGGTTTAATATCCAAAATATATAAAGAACTCATACAACCCAACAAAATGAAGACAAAAAATCCAATTAAAAATGGGCAAAGGACCTGAATAGACATTTTTCCAAAGAGGACATACAGGTGGGCAAGGGACATATGAAAAAATGCTCAAAGTCACTAATCATCAGAGAGACGCAAATTAAAATGACAGTGAGGTACCACCTCACACCTGCCAGAATGGCTATCAATAAATCAAGAAACAACAAGTGCTGGTGAGGATGTGGAAAAAAGGAACCCTAGTACCCTGTTGGTGGGAATGCAGACTTGTACAACAACCATGGAAAATGGTGTCGAGTTCCCTCAAACCATTTAAAATGGAACTGCCCTTTGACCTAGTGATCCCACTTATATCCTAAGAAGCCTGAAACACCAATCAGAACATATATATACATCCCTATTTTCACTGCAGGGTTATTAAAATAGCTAAGGTCTGGAAACAACCCAAGTACCCATCAGTAGATTAATGGATTACAAAACTGTTGTACACTTACACAATGGAATACTATGTAGGTGTAAAAAAGGATCTCTTATCCTTTGAAATAGCATGGATGGAACTGGAGAGTATTACAGTAAGAGAAAGAAACCAGTCAGAGAAATACAGTATCACATGATCTCACTTATATGTGCAATCTAATGAACAAAACAAACTGACCAACAAAAAATATCCAGAGATATTGAAACAGGCAAGAGACTGACATATCAGAGGGAAGAGGAGTGGAAGTAGGAAGAGATTAACCAAGGATCTCATATGCATATATGCATAGCCCATGGACAGAAAATAGGGAGAGGAATGCCTGGGAAGGGGTTGGGAGCAGAATGGAGGGGGTCAATTGTGTGGGGAAGGGGACATCTGTAATACTTCTAACAATAAAGATATTTTTTAGAAGTTTAAACTACTCATTTTACAAATGGAAAAGCGAAGGTCCCAAAAAGCATAGCAATTTGCTCAGAGTGACCTAGCAAACTAGTGGTAGGGGCAGGTCTACTGATTCCTAGTCTAGCATTCTTTCTAATAGTTCTGAGCTGTGATAATGAAGGTAAATCAACCTGGCAGTTCCCCTAGCATCTAGAATTACTAGTCTGGACAAACAGCACTTGAGGTTAGCTGTTAAATGTACTTTTTAATTTTCTTATCTGTATGATGATGGCATTCTTTGAAAACTTGATATTTCATGGGTAAGGGCCAATGAGGGAACACAAAGATGTTTCTAAAGCACCAAAACCATTCACAAAGTGACTCAAAAAAAGTTGGCTGTGGCTGATATATTTAAGGATTTTGACCTCTGCCCCCTCTGGACTGACCTCCCTGCCATATGCTTTGTTTCTGTTTCGTTGTTTCTCTTCTTTTGTATTCCCCCTATTTTTCATTTTTTCCTCCAGCCTGGGACTTAGGCCTACCCTCTTCAAGTCCATAAAACTGCTAATTATTCATAACACTGGAATGGGAGTGCATAGTGGCCAAGAAGCATACATATTTCCCCTGCTGTTGTCATTTAGCTCTTTATAATCTCAGACTAGTAACTCTTGTCAATGGCAACTCAACTAATCCTTTCCATCCTTCATTTGTTCTCACATTTGCCACTTTTTCTCGTTTCTTTGTTTTTCTTTTGTTTTGTTTTGTTTTGTTTTGGTTCTGAACCCTTTTCTTATTGGTGCAGCTGTGGAAGATGCTGCAGTCGCAGCAGTGTACATCTGGAAGATTTGGCTGACTTGTTGAACCTTCCCCAGGGACTACTCCAGGGAGAGGAGGGGAGAGGTGGAAAGGCCAGAACAGTTGCCTGCAAATAGAGATGCCAATATTGTCTGGCCATTCTGCGGACCACCCTTGTAAAAATTCACTTCATTCTGGCACTCAGCTTCCCCATTTGCTCATTCTCCAGTCGAAACCCCTGTTGCGGTGGAAGAAGAGAAAATATACTGGCTGTGGATTCTTTCATACAGCACTTTCTACATTGTAAAGGGATCAATATATATTTGTTGAACTAATTAATATATCAGGAAATCCTATGGGACTGCTTTACTGTGCATGGGGCAACATTGTTTCAATTCCACCTGGCACAGGCGGACTTCTTCATCACTTAGACTGAGGCCCCAGACTCACTCCAGGGATGGGGCTGCCTCCATCCCACCCCATTCTCACTCCGTTTGGCTCCCTGGCTCCTGAGTCTCCTTTTCTTCTGGCGCGGTATTGGATTGCAAACAGCAGGCATGGTTTCATTCCAAACCCAGAACTGTTTTAATTAGTTTAACGTCTGTTAAACGCTTTGAAGATTGAATGCAACAGATAAGTACGGGATGATGTTATTAGCAACTGCAGTTAATTGCAAACATTTCTATTAATACTAGTTTCTGCCTCCTTTTCCTTGCTCTAATTTCCAAGGTTCCCAAATTCTTCTTAGCCTTCCCCCCTCCTCTTCCCTTCACAGTACTGGCGTTATAGGGTTAAATTGGGGCGGAGTCTAGCGATGAACGACAGCAGCAATCACCAACTGGAACGGAGCAAGCTGGTCGAGCTGGGTGGGGCCGTGAGGCAGAGGCGAAACCATAGGCCCCCAGGCTCCGCCCCGCGGCTGGAGGCCAGG